TCTTGATAAAAAATCAAGTAGACGTAATGAAAAAAATGTTGAAAACTTCAATATCTTAGAAAATACACCTATTGAAGAAAATAAAAATACTATGGTACGAAGTGTGAACTTAAGACCTATGGTAATATGATCACACTTTCTTACAATGATGAATTTGCAAGTGCAACGATCGTTGGCAGTTAATAAATAGACATCGTCGGTGGCAATATATAGGCAACAATCTAGAGGAAAGATTGTAATTACGAGTATCTTTAGAAAGTCAGCCACAAATGGTAACATCAAAGATGCTACACTTAAATTACTGTAGCATTTCCAAGACGTAAAGCCACAATAATGCACTCGTGACACTTAAATTACCCAGTAATTTTTAATTGCAAGCCAACACACAATAGCTCCATAATTTCCATGATTTTTCTTTGGAAAATTAATATTCTTAACACGCGCATAGAATAATAAAGTTGTGACGTTTCTTCTTCGTTTAGTTGGCAATACTCTCGAGGCTCGGTCTAAAATGGCTATATGAATAAGTAATAAATCCTGCGGCGATTTAGACGCATCGCATAAATAAAATGCTTAGTTACCAAATAGTGTAATCCGCCTGAATAGAAACTGGCGTACCTATAAAGTACGGTAGAAGGATTATCTTTTATTGCTTTATGAATACGGTAATATATTACAATCAAAGCGATGTGTATATGTGAGAAGAGGCCAGTCCACCTTTGGCTATAATATGTCAATCGAGATGAATCTGCGGTTAAAACAGCTCTCCTTAACTGGACACGCACGTTCTCCGCAACCCGCGATGAATGGAACGAAAGTACACACATGCAACCATAAGGAATGATATAAATTGCATATTGGAGATGTGCATCATCCTAGTTAATTGCTTAATCAACTCTGATCACTTCATTACTAAGCACAATCAATTCTTTATTTACATCACGCAACAAAAAACTTACGCTAATAATTGATGGCCGGGCTTATAAATTATTTATTTTTACGCCTATTCAAAATAATTAATTATTAAAAAAATGGTTTTAGACGTACAGCACTGGAAATAAAATATATACTCCTACATAACCACATACCAAGTCTAGCTTATGTCTTTCCCTTGTATACTTCAGTAAAAAGTATATAAAAGCACAAATTGTTTACCTGCTTTCAATCAGTAACTTGCAAAAATAAAAAATGTATACACGTACAGTAGAACCTCGATAATGCTAGCTTCGATGAATCTGACTTTTCTGTAATCCCAGTCACCATTTAGTTTTTTTGAACAGATTCACATAAATCGCGTAATTGTGAAAAAAAGACAAATTGGGCATATTCTTACATTATTAGTTCGATTTTCGAGGACATCCTAGTCCCATTCAACTTGGATAATTAAGGTTCCACTGTACGTGTGTTAGATTTCAAAAGCTTTTGCTCTCAGTCGGTTACAATTTAGTACAACTTATATTTTTAATATACATGATGTACCAGAATGAAATGAGACAACTTAGTTTTCCTACGACACTATAAGAAAGGTGTCAATTTCAAACATGTGTTGACAATTTTATTCATCAGTCAAAAATTCGTATACGTTATTATAACTCACGGTTATGACGTAATGATTTAGTGTTATCAAATATGTTGCTATTTTGTTTATATAGAACGAGCGCTCAGAAGTCTGAAGAGCAAAAAAATGTAAAAAACTTTTGGGCAAATTGTAAACTACAAACGTATTTTGGTAAGTTTATAACACTTTTCATGGGTTTTTCTGTTATATTATTACAATAATTGTCATATCAATAATCTAACCATAAAAGACTTTTTTCAGTGTCGTGGGAAAAATAGTGTACAAAACTCACTGGAAAATGGCTAAGGAACTCGTGGGGCTGGCTGACGTCTCGTGCATGAGACTTCTCACTTGTGCTCGTTATGTAATATACTATTTAGTGATTATAAGTTTGAAAACAAAGTATTTTGAAATTTTATTTGGCAACTCTGTTTTCCATAGAGTGGGTTCAAAAACAGGTAAGTACAAGAAAGTTTCTATATTTGTTGCACAAAAAATAAGTACTGAAACTGAAGTCTATTGTAACTAGGTTGAGTGATTATAAGATAAAATAGAGATGAGCTGTATTTTAAATATTTTTGTAATCGTAATTGCAGTTGTTGAATATTATTATTAATTATTATTAATGAATTTTAAGTTTTCTTTATTTATTTATTTCTGATATAATCTGTACCTATATAAACATTTAGGAAACATTGTCCATAGTAGCCAGATGATATAATAATTTACAAAAGATGTACAACAAAAGATTACAAATAAATTTGTATATCGATTTCTTTAGTTTTAATTAGTTAGACAAATGGCGTCTATTATGTCTTAACGAGTCTTCAAAAGATGCCTATACGGTGGCCGATTACATTGACCGTAATATTCTCTACATGACTTCAGACCTCTTGCTAGCAGGATATATTGTTGTATATTACAATAAGACGGATTAAAAATGCTTGGATTATTTATGGCTCAAACACGTAGATGTATGAAAATGAACTCACAAACTTGCATCATACATTGTTGTGGCAATTATGATAATCGAAGAAAAATCTGAGCGAGATAAAAATCGAAAAGAAATTTGTTTTACAGTAAACATGTAGACTCATTTTTAACACCTGCAGTAAAAATTTTGATTACATTTATGATTTTCAAAGGACATTAATAAAAGATTAAAAAATTGGGTATGCAAAAATAATTTTTGGTTTCTCAATTTAATTTACAGCTAAAACAATATAAAATTTATAAATATGTTTGTTAAAGCATCTACAAATGTGAGACTCTATCAAGAAAAGTCATTAACACATCATTGGAATGGTGATGATTAAAAATTGTTCAAATTTAATTAATTGCCGAGGTGAGTTAGTTGAGCAAATGGTCGTTTCAAGAATTTTCTTGACACCAGTATTTCACTAAATAGTGGCGATTAATATCCTTTAGGTATCCCGAGTATTGGCCGCGGTTGGTCAGACATGGTCACTAACAGCTCGTGTTGAATAGATTACCAATAAAAACAGCCGTGAATAATAATACGAAGCGCTTTTTTTAATTAAGCGTTTTTCTGGTCGTTTCGCAGATTAAATAATTCATAGCACGTGTTTTAGCTCATGTCTAAGCAGATATTCAACGTGCCGAGATAGTAGAAAGGCATCTGGGGACATTATAGCCAGTTTGTTGTCGAAGCACGGTGGTGGTCTAGTGCCAAACATCCATGTATCCAAGTTTTTGTCCTAAATAGCGGTGTCTTGTTAAAACTTTGTCAGTTTATCGGGAAATAATTGTGCAATAGATCAAAGACGGAATTCGATGCGCAGACGAACCGTATGATGTCTTGGCATTTCAATGTCAGACAAAAGAAGTTTTGCGAGCAAAAAATTTTTTACATGTTTCATCACATGAATACTAATTGCAACTAATACCAAACTAGAAGTACTGAATTCCGATAAATGCACACAGCAAACACCAATTACCCCAAACTTGACTATTACAGCCCGTTCCAATGATTTAATTAATATCTATTTAGCATACAAATTTACATAAACCAAACTTATTTTCCAATACTTCAAAAATTAACAAACAACGTTTTCTATACTTTTTCACCAATACTTGACTTGCACGAAAAAGTAAAAACAAACGTACTAATTTGTAATTCGTAAATTTCGAATATTTGACCAAATTATATAAATTAATGTATTTATTTTTATTACGTGATATATAAAAATACAAAAAAATGCATCAAAAGCAACAAACAAGATTTGTACAGCTTCTGCAGTTTTTTCTTTATGGAAAAAAATGGAATAAGGAAGTCTTAGCACATTTCATTTTTAATAAATATAAATTTTGAAGATTATTTTAAAGAAACAGTATATTTTTAAACTTTATCATAAATGAATAAAACTTACTTCATAAAAGAATAAAAAACTCTCAAATTCAACGTAGGTTATTTTCAGTAGGTACTATTTTCTCTGATTTGGAATAACATTCCTTTGCTTTCTCCTCTTTAGCTTATAATAAAAAGTTTTGTGATTGTTTGCAGTTAATTTCAATCCATTGAAATTTAAAACACCCAGGAGGTATGCACATAAACGAACACATATTTTGTTTATTCAGAACAATAAGGCTTGTTGTTATTTTGCTGTGCTCCTTTGCTGTAAAATTTTTATCGCTTAAATTTTAAAGTTGATACGACCAACTTTTAACAAGTAATAACTTAGGCGTTATCACGTAAAAAATATGATAAAAATCGTTTAGTTGAAGCTTTTAATGTCGGTACAGCACTATAATCCTGAAACACCGTTTTATTTTTCCACGTAATGTTGCAGGTCAGCTTTCAAACGTAAAGTTCAATATTTTTATGCGCGGCTTGAGATGAGTATTCCTAACATCGCGTGAGCACAGATATGTAGTTGATATAAAAGACATGTTGGTATCGGTCGGTGTGGGCGCAGAACAACTGTAGCGTTCTGCCACCCAAGGTGTTAGGGTCACGCAACACCACTGACCCTTTATTTGGTGTCATTTCACACCCAAAACCTAAGTTTTTATTGAATTTCAAGAATTCAACGGCTATGTTAATGGAATGCGGATGATACGAAAATTCTGTTTCATTTCGCGCTTTATCTTTTTTATACGCGTATACGCACATAAATAACCCAAATGATACAACATTTACGTTATTTTCTTAACATATTTCGACCACGTTTTACGAGTTTTCGCCTTCACAATACGAAAATTTTTATATGAAACGTCATAAAATAAAGGCTCGTTTTAAATTTTATTTATAAAAATGGGATCAAGATAATTTTAAAATCGTACTAGAAAACATACTTTTTATTACTTGTAATATTTTAAAAAACTTTTAAACAAACGCAAGTTGAATAAGAAACCGTTAATTACTCTACTTTTAATCGTGTTGAAAAGTTGGTTTAAGAAGTAAATAAAACACAGAGAGGAATTCTTTTTGTAAAACATAACATTTTATTTAAAGCAAAAATATAAAATTATATAACATTATAAGGCACATTTTTACTGGCCGGATACATTTTAATACTTAATTGATACAATATAAGTAGTCTGGCAATTTATACATCGTTATAAATAAAATGTACAAAAAATAATGCTATGAATTGTCTACCCACAACTGACCTTTAACATAATATAAATACATACTTCAATAAATATCTACTGTTCACAGAGAAATAAACTGCTTCCTATTAATCAGTTTGAGAAAATAATTCTGAATTGCAGCATCATCAGGTACTAATTTATAACAATATTATTCGAATTGTTCCCAACATTAGGAATGTTCATGGAAAATTTCTCACATAAGATCCCTAGAGTAGCTTTATGTACAAAAAATTATATATTACTCTTTTTTGAATATTTACAAATTGTCGAACACACATTGTAAAAGTAAAGATTTTATTGCAATCAGAAAAAGACAATGGCATCATATTAATGATTTTTTTTAACAGTTACAATGTAGGCAGGTATATTGTTTGAAATTTTAAATTAAAAATTAGTCTGCATAAAAAACTCTTCAAAAATTCATTGATATTCATTTTAACTATTATGTCGTTATGGTAAAATATTGAATTGCATTGACAAACTTAAAGTACATTATTAAGACCCGTTTACATTAAATACAACAAAAATTTGTTTTAGTCCTGATTTTTACATTTTATATAAAATTGTATATTATCAAAATTTACTTTGTGTATACATTTTCTATAAAAAATAACATGTTTTGACACATTTTAATGCTTTGTATTGTATCGACACTAACTGTAAATGTTTCAAAAACAACAAAATACATTTTAAGTTGTGAACAACTTCAGATAAGTATTAAAATAATCAAATTATTTCACATACTGTTCAACATAGGTATTTTTTTCTTAAAAAGATAAAACAAATCACAAAAATTCATAAACTGGCCTTGTTGAAATAACTTTCAAGTCACAAAATTACTAAAACTAAACACTTAATTCAAGGAATTCCATTAATTGGCGCCAAAATGCTTGTCATTTGAAAATAAAATGGGTGCAATATTAAGACTTGAAGTTTAATATTGCATTTTATTCATTACAGGCCAATAGAGGCTTTGCTAGAGTTCATGGCTGGTTTATTCTGAACAAAAACAAATTTGAGCATAAACTTTCGATTCAAGATACTTCGAAAGGAACTATTAGTTTAATACAAATAACAAAACAAGGACTAAAATCACAACCTGCATGGAATGAATTCAGTTAGAGACATCTGTAGTTTGTCTATCTAAAGTCAAGTCTAAAGGCACAGGTTTGAGTGGCTCGTCGACACCAACGTCTATACAAAGTTCTTGATCACTATCGGAAGACGGTAGCGTCGTCACCTTGGGCGGGCTCTTCACCGATAAGTCGATGGGCTCGACCTGGTCGGGGGCGGCGGCAGCGGGGGTGATGGGCCCGCGGGCCCAGAGGTCCCTCCAGGCCGAGGGGTCGTTGAAGCCTTGCAGCGGCGGCAGCCACTTGGGCAGGAATCCTCCGCTGGGCGAGATCGATGGGAGCGAAGCCGGCGACACGGAAGGAGCGTTTACTAATGCACTAATAAATTTCCGCCTATCGAAACATTCACTATCACTCGCCGGAGATGGCAGTTTTTTCACGGAAAAGTAATCACGATCACTGGACGGTTTTATGTAACTAAAGGCACTGGAAGAGCGGAGCTCGTCCTCGGGGTCGGCCGACGAGGCGCCGCTGTCCGATTCCGAGCTTTTGGTCTCTCTGGAGGCGGTCCTGGGGGCCGCGCTGTGGAAGAGGGGTGTCAGGTAGGGGTGCGGACGAAGGAGGTTAGCCGCCGCCGCCATGTTGGCGCCGGCTTGCTGCTGCTCTTGGAGGAGGCAGTGGATTTTGAACCAGTTTGATCGACGACCGTAACGAGATCCACTTTTCGACATACCGACCAAAAGGCACTTTCTTAAGCGGCATGCTTTGCAAGCTGTCCGATTTTTTTTGTTGATCACACATTCGCCGTTGTTTTTGCATTCCGATATTGAGCTGATATTGTTGTACGTTCGGCCGAAGAAGGACTGCAACAAAGACAAAAAGTTACTGATTTGCTGAAACTGATTTGTGAATTATATCACTACATATTTAAGCCTGAAAGGGACCACATATCATTGGGGTATTTTTAAAGTACACAACGTGATACAATCTTTGCTTTGGAAACTGAAACGGGCTTGTTTCCACTCGTGCTACTCAGAACTTTTCAATTTATTCACTCCTTTAATACTCATTTCTGATGATAACAATTGTTATAGTACTTTTATTCAGAAAGAACACCATTAATCTAGTTTTTAGAGATATTGATTCATAAATTTATAACAGGTATTTATCATAAATATTTATGATATTTGTTATAATTGTAAATGTTATTAAATCTAATATGATTTTCATTAAGTAATTTTTATTCTTGTCGGTGTGTTTTTATATAAATACAAATAATAAACGATTAGACTAGCCATTACAGAGCTACAACTAAAAAAATGTGCTTGCAAAGTAAATAAAAATTCTAACAAATTTAATTCCAAAATACATTTTTAAAATTTTTGAGTAACTACTTATTGATTTTTAAAAATCCGGTAAGATTGAAATAAGCTCTTCTTTCAATATATAATTTTTTGCTGGAAGAAATTCCAAATGCTCGAAACCTTGAAAACTCGTATGCAACATACAAGGGCAATTTTGCATGTAGTTGCTTGCTCATTGCCTTTACTAAAAACATGGAAACATAGCATCTATGCATAAAGAAAATGTTAAATTTCAAGTTTTAAGTTCCATCTTAAATACACTATTTCAATGAATTATTTTTGTAAAAACAAGAGATCAAGACCACCCAAATAAAAAAAAAACATTTAGAATTCAAATATTCTGAATCTGAAGCATAAATTAGTTTTAAGACCTACATCATCAGAAGTATTTTGTTTCAGCATCATTATAACAACAGTAGAAAGCAAATTTTGTACAAATTATGAGTGGTATCACAAGAAGCAAAACTTATAGATAAAAATACCAATAAAACAGGTTTTTATTAAATTAAGAAACAAAATTTGTCATGTCTAGTGTTACTTAAAAATTTATAAATCTATTTAAATATGCTACTCACATTTTCAGTTTTTTTCAATCTGCGAAACCTTACGTAAAGTTAGTGTGATTAGATTTTTTGATTTTTTTTAGTTTAATAGTGCAAACAGAAATGTAGTTTATAAACGAATAGTTTGAGTTTATCAATCAAGGAATCAGAAAATAAATACATATCGCTAACAACAGTCCTTTAAAATTATACCTGACTCTCTGTTAAGGCAGTTCTTAAGGAATCTACTGCTAATATTAGACTCGTAATTGGCTAATTAGTGATATCCTTAAACTCAGATAAGATACAGGAAGTCGAATAGCACAAAATCAAATAATCGGGATTCGACTATCTAATGATTCTCCTAAAGAAAGTACTTACACGTTTATAAACACGTAAATAAATTTTGCATCTAGATTATTTGAGATAATTATGAACTGTAAAAATTAACCCTTGCATAAACAAAATTAAAATTCAATTTTTACTACATTATAGAAATGTAGTGATTAATTTAATATTTTTTGCGGTAACATCTGAAATTGAAAGAAAACTATGTGAAAAACACAAACCTCAAAAAGTAGGTACGGTTTAAATGTTCGGTGTAACTTACAATGGAACAGTGTTCTAAATAATCAACTTTAATTTTGTTATAATTGTAGACCTACAAGAAGTGAGTTAATGGTTGGGAAAGATCTACACAAGTCACTCATTTCAGTGATATATTACATTAGATTGCTTTTTTTTATCATTTCTCTACAAAACTTTCATATATCTTGGAGAGAATATAAAAAAGTAAGAGCAACAATAATTTAAAAAAGTTAAAATCAATTAAGTAACTTTTTTTTTCTTTATTTGTAAGAAGAAATAATACTAGATCGTGCCAAGCTGTGACAATAACACTTCCATATTAGATTTTTAGATGCGAAGTTAAGGTGTCATCTTCACACCATTAACGCTCCTCTATAAGGATTTTAATTTTATGAGTTTTTTCAAAGAAAACGAAAACAAGTTTTTTTACGTAATTACCATTATTTTTAAATCCTTAATTACTCTTTATCGATAGTTTATTTATATCTACTTGGAAGAAAATGCGGAAACGGATTTCGTGTAAACTGTTTTATACATAAATCCAGAGAAAATTTTTATACATTGATCAGTCAGGCAAATAAAAAGATATTAGTCCGCAATAAACGGCTGCCATTTCGATAAAATTTTGGTAGGTGTATAGAGTTTCGTGGTTAGGTAGATAACATATTGAATTTCCGCCGTGCACACAATATAAAAATGTATTTTATTGCAGCAATTAAGTGCCTTTCATTAAATTTCTGGATCATTTAAATAAATCTCATGTAAAATAAAATAATTGTCACAATTAATTTTTATTGAAAGCATTTTATTCCCAAAGCTTTAACATGTGGGCGGAATTTATTACAGTAATAATGTAAAATTGGTTTATTAAATTTAAGAATTGAATTATTGCAACACAAGATAAGTCTGTTACCCATTGAACAGCAAATGTAAATAGCGTACATAATCCCATACGTACTTCGCGATAACATCTCCACATCATTAGCGAAGGCAGTTGACGTTAGGTAATAATATTTTTAGTGGATATGTACTGAAATAAAACTCTTTCTTGTCTATCCAACATGAAGGTGATTCGCATAAGTCACGATGTGCTGACCGAATTAGTGGCTTGTACTTTCTACACTCAAGAATCTAGACCTAGATCGAAACCTACTAAGATACGTCATATATTTGCTGGGACAGGTGGATGAGTACGAAGAGACCTCAAAGAAAAGGTCACTCTTCCTTTGAAATATTTGCGTTTTTAAGGCGTGGAAGTGAAGGAAGTTGTCGTCTTTCTTGTTACATGCTGTACTTGGTGAAGCGCAAACATCATCGACTGTTAACATTTCTTAGAGAATTGCGGATGCCACAATAACAACATTATGTCTCATCAAATTGATATGTAGTTTACATTTTAGATGATTTATGTAGCAATGTTACAGGAAGCTACTGCGTCAAAATCTGGAGCAGTTTTGCAAAAAAATATTTGTAAGCTCATTTTTCAACGAGATTTTTTGATTTTCATTCAATATTTCACCTACTAACGTGTGTATAACTTCAAATTTTTCAATAAAAAAGCTGTCTTTAAATAATATTGTTTTGTTTTCTTTAATTTATGGTTTCAAATGAAAAAAAATAAAGAAACGGTATGTTTTAACGATTTTTTATTAATGTTCTATCACAATTAAGTCTATATATGACCCACATTAACCCATTTTTACTCTTCTTAATTCTTGTTTTATAATAAAAACAAAAATCAATTCATAATTTTAGCAATTAAAATTAAACAAAACAAATAAAGTTGCCTACGTGGGATCAAGATATATTTTTCATCATACTTACAATATTTAGGCGTTATGCCATCACTATTACTAAAAATGTTTATTGGTTAGCGTCTTGACAAAATTTGATTCTAAGCTGTTTTATTTATGTAACGACGAGCAATTTCAATACTATGGAAGACTATTTTCAACGAAATATATTAGAAAATTATTAATTCAATTAAACTTTACTGCATTCATTACAGTAAATTTCAAAATAATAAAGGAGCAGTAAGGCGTAATGGTCACCGACATTTCCTGATTCAAAAATAGAGGTAACGGCCATAAAATGTTGTCATTCCAATTGTAATTTAGCGTTTTATGGTTAATTATCTCAGCTATTTTAAATTACTTAGGCGAAGTGACTTTTTATTTTTATTCAGCAGCCATGTCATATATCATCTTTTTATAGGAGAACGTTTTCTAAAACAAACAAAGTTAAAAAATTAATTAATTAAGCGTTTCGGCAATTAGCTGCTACATGGAGCAAAATTTATAACCAAATATAAAAATGTGTTAGAAACGTGGGTATATTACCGATAATATGGCGTAATAAAATCTGAGTAAAATCATAAAGCATAATGTAAGTCATGTGTAAAGTTTATCTGTAGTGCGCGTTTATCACTCGTAAGCAATGCAAGAATGATTATAATATATCACAGGAAACACATAGTTATAAAATAAATTATAGGACGAGTTTAAAACACAATTTTAGTACATCTAAGATTTTACATTTAATGTCTCTTGTAGCTTACTGCAGCGACCATGAATGTCAGCTTTCCGGATGAATTGTAGCCGAAGATAATTGTCGTTGTAGGACACAAACGCATGCAAGGCTTAGATTATCTTAATATACTAAGCTTTTAGCTTTCAATGTTATGATTCATAAAGCAAATGCACAGCCGTTGTAAAACCTTAAATATCTGCAAATGCAGCGCCGCAAAATAATTATTCTCTTTAAAAGCACAAATGAAAAACTAGAAAAAATACAGACGTACAGGTGTCCTCCGATAAAAGCTGCTACATAATCACGGCCGACCAAATAGGCAAAAACATATAATTTACAACCCTCTTAAATATAGATTAATATTTTATGAATGGAGAATGATGGAGAATTTGTGCTTGATTCAGTTTTAAAAATTGAATTCTTTCCTTTTATGATTAAAAATAAAACGCGTTTCGCACCTGTAGGTGTGCTGCTTTTTTCAGGAGGCTAAAGCGGTTCTAATGACTTTCGAGAGGAGTTACAAGTGGAATAATTATGCAGTTATATAATGCGTAATAATAATGTTAAATCGAAGATAAACTGATTACAAAATCGCACAAACTGTTGTAATATGAACGGGGCTGTGGCCCGCATAGGATCCTGCACAATACGGTTCTTTCACGCCAGTTCCCACGACCCGGACAGAGACGGCTTCATTCTGTTTTGCGTGGGTCAGACGGCAACGACACAAAATACTTTCATTTCCACCTGATCGGTCACAATTATAAAAGTTTTAAGGTCAATTACAACTATTTTAAATAGCAACAAGTCAACAAAAATAATGTTCTATTATATCTGAAT